GACACACCCTGTGTGTCTGTGTGTCTGTGTGTGTGTGTGGGTTTATGTGTGTCTGTGTGTCTGTGTGTCTGCGTGCTTGCATGTCTGCATGTCCGCGTGTCTGCGTGTGTTTCTGCCTGTGTGTCTGTCTGTCTGTTTTTCTTTGTGTGTGTGTGTGTCCATGTGTGTCTGCGTGTCTGCGTGTCTGTGTGTCTGCTGCGTGTCTGCGCGTCTGCGTGTGTTCCTGCCTGTCTGTCTGTGTGTGTCTGTGTGTCTATTTTCGTGGCTATATTCTGACGACATGCCCCCACCGGTGGTGCATGCCCGTAAAGCTGGCGACTCAAAGACTGTGCTTTGAGGCTTTGACAAAATCCCAAGTGTAAGGGGATGTGAAAAGCGAGCTCGGCAACGTCAAAAAGGGGGACCAGGAACAACACCACCGCCAAACCAACCCAAAAGGAAACAGGGCCCAGACGAGCAAGCAGGTCAAGGCCGAACCCGCCTTCGTCCTCAGCCAGTACCGGAACAACTGGGAATGTATTGAAACTCCGATGGTCCCGGCAAGGGTCTGCATCTGTTTGCACATAAGTTTTAATAAGCTGGTCTAACAAGTCACAAAGAGCCAGTGCCGGGCGAGTATTAAGACCTGCCGCTGCTTTGAACGCATAAGCGCGTGTCAAGCTGAAAGTTCAAAGGGCAGCCACACTGACAGGGCAAGATGCGTGCTCAAGGTTCGATTAGAGCTGCCGAAGTTCTTCAAAACTTGCTGAAGCGGCGGTAGGGGCAGAAGTTCTCGGCCCGGCGCAGCTCGGTGAACTCACTGGCGCGCGCTCTGCGCGCCCTTGGTTCCACGGGACATTGTAGCCTGTTGCAATGTTAAAGTCAATCCAGTTTAATCCAAGAAGTGTCGGGATCTTGCTCTTTTGGCGCTTGAGTCTGTGTGTGTGTGTGTGTCTGTGTGCCTGCGTGTCAGTGTGTCTGCTTGTGCGCGTGTTCCTGCCTATGTGTCTGTGTGTGTTTGTTTGTGTGTGTGTGTCTGCATGTCTGCGTGTCTGCGTGTTTGTGTGTCTGCGTGTCTGTGTGGTTCCTGCCTGTGTGTCTGTGTGCGTGTGTGTTCCTGCCTTTGTGTTTGTGTGTGTGTGTGTTCCTGCCTGTGTGTCTGTGTGTCTGTGTGTCTGCGAGTCTGCGTGTCTGCGTGTCTGTGTGTCTGTGTGTGTGTGTCTGTGTGTCTGCATGTCTGCGTGTTTGCGTGTCTGCGTGTCTGTGTGGTTCCTGGTGTCTGTGTGTGTGTGTGTTCCTGCCTTTGTGTCTGTGTGTGTGTGTTCCTGCCTGTGTGTTTGTGTGTCTGTGTGGTTGTTTGTCTGCGTGTCTGCGTGTCTGCGTGTCTGCGTGTCTGTGTGTCTGTGTGTGTGTGAGTCTGTGTGTCTGTGTGTCTGTGTGTCTGTCTGTCTGTGTGTGTGTAAGCCTGCTTGTCCGTGTGTCTGTGTACCGCAGGGGCCCCCTGGAGGGGTCTCAAGAAATTGTGCAGTTTCTCATGGTTTCCAAGGGTTCCTCATACCTCACCCCAAAAGGCGTTCAAAATCTAATGTAGACCCTTGAAACCATAGTGAGAAGTGGTCCTAAGCGGGTTCTCGGTAGCGCCGGCGCGAGGGGAATGGTGCCACACCCCACGGATGCTGCCGGGTGTGGAAGCCGGGCGCCAAGCCACCAAGCCGCCATCTTCTCTCGCCCGAGTTCCCGGATATTTCTATTTATTTGGCCACGGGTCAAAGTCCCGTACCTGCAGTGAACATCCCAATCCCCACTAAAATAGACTACAATGCATGGTGCACCTACCCCAAAATGAAAATGGTACCATTGGTTTTGACCCACAGCCATTTGTTGGGAAGACCGTTTTGCAAGCAACAAGTTGGGACCTGTTCAATCCAAAAAGTGAGTTCTGGCTGGTGGTTAGGGACGAACACATTTGTGGCTGTGGCGATTTTGCCTCACGCAAAGGAGAGGGGAGGTTTCCAAGCACCAGCCAGTTCTTTCCTTACCCTAGTTACAAACGATTCAAATGTTGGCGACCCTGGGAAGACTCGCTTGAAAGGGCTCCAACAAAAGTTGAATTTTCACACATTTGGATGATAATATACGGGTGTGTGTTGTCTAAAGTATTAATTGGAGAAGTGACAAGAGTATTCTGCTTGAAGTCCCAACGTTTGCCCGCTGCTTTGATATTCGATTGGCCCAAAGCGCCCCCGAAAGTTGCCGTTTTGTGGTCTATTTAGCATGGAATCGGAGGGGGCGATTCCTTGCAAGATAGACACACCCTAAACAATTGAACAGGTTTTAATCGCAAAACAAGAACAAATCCCCAACAAGTGGTTTAAACCTCCCCTTGTGCGGGGTCCCTATACATTTGGGCCAGTTAAAAGATGACCTTTGCCAGCTTTGCAGGATGCCCTGGTTGCATCCTTCCCAGTGCTTCCAGTTTCCACAGTAATTCCAGGTAAGATGCCCTGCTTGCTGATGGTGACTGAAAGAACTCGGCTTTAAAGAAACCCCCGTCTTTTCAGCCATGGGCACCTATTTTGTGGGCCTGGGGGAATCACGAGCTCACTGTGTTGGTTCTTCACTTGGTCCCTTCAATATATTTCGGTTTTGGACATCTTGTGCTCGAAAGTCATTTTGAAACTCCGCAGACCCGTGACTTCAAGGAACTCGCTAACCTGGTTCCCCCACGGTACTCATGGTGTGTTATGGGCGGGGGGGGGGGGGCGGGGGGGTTATTGAAATGCAAACTACTTATTTATAAGGGGTGTTCCCTTATTTGAAGACCACCCATTCTGTTTCAAGACTCAAGACAACCCATGGCATATGTGGGAGGCTTTCCTATTCTGGGCAACCTCATTCGTGATAAGCGTCCCGACGCGCCACCTGTCATTTCAAGAGCCCACAAGTCGGCACCATCCACAAAGGGGCCATAGTGGTGGATATGTCATCCATTCCGCACTTAGATGAAACTCCCACATCTTGAGATAAGCTGATAAGCCAACAGATAAACCTGCAAAACTTTCCAGCATCCCCAGCAACCAGTGCCGCATTTGCATCCGAGAAGCCTCCCCCAAGCCACCAGCGCAACCAGGGCGTCCGAGGCGCGGAGGCGGTGATCTCCAACCGGGTGAACTTCGCTTTGAACCTCAAGGGCGCGAGTCAGGAGCCCAACCCACGTCCGTTGCCAGGTCCGTTCTGCTTCTGGCCGGGTTTAGCGGAGTGAGAGGCTTGAATGTAAGCCTCAATGGGCTAGAAGTCTATAAGGGTTACAGGAAAGCTTTTTATGGTTAGGCTATGAGGGCTATAGGGCTATAAGTCTATGAACCTTTGATGGGTAGTAGAACCGCTTGGGGTAGACGAAGGTTAGGGGCTAGTCCGAGGGAATAAGATGGCGGCACACAATTGTGTCACACAAGCTGGAGAGGCAGACCAACCAAGCAAAGCAAGTACGGAGCGAAACGTTGTGCCATGAATGGACTGCGAATCCTACCCTTTATCTACCAGGGTCGCTGAACAACTGAGATCGCGTAAAAACAGGTCAACGACCTCTAAGGCCAAGCCCATAAAGAACAAGACCTGGTCGACTAAATGCGTGTTCCTCCAAGTGAATGGAACACTTTCATTTGCTTGAAGAATATGTTGTATTTTCACTACTGGCTGAGGGAGTCTATCACGGACATGTTTTCTTAGGTCAAAACCTGAATTGAATATGCAACTGGAAGCACATGCAGGCTTCCTGAGACCCCAGCTGAAGGACAGCTGGGGCAAAGGGACAGCCCATAGCTTTCAGTTGTTGGGGCAAAGGAAATAAATATTTCTACATTATATACATATACAGATACATATAAAATATATATTATACAGTGTATTCAGATACTATATTATATATCCCATACCTTCCAAGGCGTGAACCGGAAGCAACTCGCGCCACACGCGTGTTTTTTTTGTTGAGGCCAGACCATCAACACTGCCTGCTCGGCGGGGCTGGTTGTGAGGCTCTCAGGAAATCGCCGGTGGGGTGGATTCAGATGAAGGCCAGACAGTCCCAAGAGGTGCGGACAATTGCAATTCTTTACATGTTTCGGGCTCCGCTTAAGACTCAGTTGGCCCCTTTCTTAGCTTCGCCTTGTCCTAAAAGGGTGTTTGTTTCACTTCGAAATCGATCCTTTTGCTTCCAACTGCGTGAAGCACCCAAGCAAGAGGTTCGATTTTCCCAATTTCCACCGGGCCATTCAGACAAAGAGAGCACTTTTATGAGGTCATGTCCAATACTGTTCGAGTTTCTGCATGCGCCCTGCCGCTTTGGCCCGAGGTGTGGAGTCAAACATGGAACACATTTTGAACGCGGTCCAAATCATGATACAAGCTCCTTCAGATTTTGCACCAAATGGGTCAACCAAAGGCCAAAGGGGTTCGCCCATCAATAATTGGTTGGACGCTTTGACTTGTTCTGACCGTTGCACCGATTGCAGTAACATCAGCCACCATGGACTACTTGCTCAGTGATTTCAGTGCAGACGACCAGAGTGCATGCTGGAACGCGTGCTGCACAACAACTGCAGTAGAGTGGTTTGCTTGTGTAGGGAGCCAGAACTAGACATTCAACCCCTCAACCCCTTGAATTGAGTACATGGTAGGCGGCACGGCGTACTTGGCGATTGCACTGTGCGTGCTTGTGCTTTGCTACTATCACAGACTGCTATCGAGCAGGTGACCCCGCGATATCAAAGTGTTTATCAGGAACCACTGATTGCGGTTGGGCTTGCCTTTGAGCATCGTTCAGGTGGGTAGTACTTCTCCAATAGTTTTCCTGGTGCGTAGGAATCAACAGCGGTTTTGGGAAACTCATGGATCCCTTAAAGGAAGCAGATGGCTTTTGTCGTTCAGTCCAACTCATACCCTGAACCCCAAGTGGTAGGAAGCTGCCTGAGAAAGGGCTGCGGGTTCGTCGAAAGCCATTGGATCCGGTGGATCTTGCGGACATGGACGAGGAGGAGAACCCCAACGATGGCCCTGGGCTCATCAAACTGGACATGAGCCCTGGCTGTTTGCGAAGGGCGCGCTTGCCCTGGTTTACCTTGAAAGCCAACCATAAAAGGGTGGCATTTTTTCCATGCCCGCTGCGAGGCTGCGAGGGCTGGGATTGCAACTGGTGCCTGTGTCGTCTAAAGTTAGGGACTCCGTTTTGGATTATGTTTATGGAGATACCGTAGACCTCAAGGGTCTTGTTTAGGCAAGAACTGATAAGGGCGTCCTGAGATTGAGCAAACAGGTGCTGAGCTGGATTACTTTAGTAGCTGGAATGTTTCTCCGGGGTTTCCGTGAGGAACCGGTTTGTGTAGATTTGCCCCAAAGCGGTGTTGCTCCTTTTGGCAAACCACCGCGGATTCAGGATCAGCCCGAGGATGAATCAACCGGGGAAGAAACACGTTTTGCCTGGTGGCTCGCTTGATGCAAACTGGTCCATGAATGTCAGCACACGACTGCAACTCGATGAGTCCCCGACAAATGTGCCCACAATGAGCTGTCAGGACGGGATACTGGGGGCAAAGTCATGAACCACGTTTTGTTCCCATCATGACTCATGGACACAATTGGGCTTGCAGTACCTACTCGTAACCACTTCGAATTGTTTGGGCCCCGATAGTACCTACCCAGAGGGGGTACTGTACAGAACAATTTGTTAGACTCACTGTCAAGCCGCTTCAGCCAAAGCGTCGAGCCGCTGAAAGTTATCCATTTCACATGGAGCCCCCCAAAAAGCGTTTTTGTTAGACGAATCTTTATGTGAAGACCGCCTTGCGTTTGCAGGGGAGAAAGAGGAAGAACCACAGAAAGGCGTTTAAAAGGAACCGTGCTCACATCATGGAAGGTTGGTGCGGCCTTTCCATCAGCTTCTTTGACCATATATGTCCCGCATTAGGATGTCCTTCTTCAGAGGGGTACCCCCTTTCTCATTTTTGCGTTCCACAAGCGTTTGGTCTGAAATAAAACATCCAAAGGCCCATTTCCCCGTTTCGGAAGGTCTTGAGTGCGCATCTGTGGATTAACCCTTTGTTTGGTACTTCAGGCCATTGGAGTTTGGGGCGGGGTAAGTGAGCGGCTCCAAATACTTGGTTTGGCTCGGGTATGAAAAAGAGCGAATAGCGCACTCCCCCTTTTCAGGCTCCATAGAACTGCCCGTTTATCCTGTATCGGGCCGCAATCAAACTTTCTCACCAGCGGCAGAGCATAATTTTTCCTTGACCCCGTTTGGATTTTGCCATCAAACGCTCCTTGAATTTTACCGATGAGGTGGGTTCCACTTATATTTTTTTTTGTTGTGGAGTCCCCCTAAAGAGCACTTGTTTGGTCTAGGTTCCCCTCAAAGAGGAGGGTGGGTTCCCGCAAATACCGCTGGTTCTTTTGGCTTCCCCTTTCAAAGACTCAGGAAATCCACCGGTGCCTTCCAAATGCATCGCTCTCTCGAGCCGAGGAAGCAGTTTGGCTCGGGCACCATGGAGGATCCGTTGCGCCATGCGGTGGCCATGCGCACCGCGCAGGACCAGCGCCTCGAATACGAAGCGAAGCGAATCGGGTGCACGGACCTGCGGGGCTGCGAGCGGTTTTTGTTTACAATTTGGCACCTAGCGGGGTGCCATTAAGGTTTGTGTCAACATCACGGCCCTCCCCCACAAAAACGAAGAAATAAAAGCAAACAAGGAGAAGAGGTGAGTTTCTAGGTTTCCCAGCTAGGTGCCCTTCTTCTCTTTCCTTTTTTTGGTTGGGAGGGTTCCCCTACTAATATAGACTACAGAAAACGGGGCACCCTTATTCTAAGCTCTCTTCTGGAGGACCTAGTGGGGGTGAAGCTCCGGTAAAATCAACTGGGTTTGTCTCACCAAGAAAAAGATACCCTCAAAAAGACACGCCCAACTAGGGCGAAGGGACTTTCAGAAGACAGACTCGAAATTCAGACAAGCAACAATTCAGAAAATAAAAAGTAGTATGAAATTCAGAAATGAGGAATGCAACATTTGGAAACAGGAGCGCGACACTTGGAAAACAGAAGGTTTCCGGTTGGTCGGGATTGGTCGGGAGGGTCGAAAGTGTTTGAAGGGTCGGGATGCTTTGCTGGCTAATGTCCGCAACAATGTGGGCTGTCGGCCGAACGTCGGCCGAGTTTCACGTATGATTCGGCCAAGTTTCACAATTTGGGTCGGCTAAAGTTCACATTCTCGTCGGCCTTGGCATCAGTTTCGGCCCATCGTGTCGGCTGAATTTCAGATGAAATCGCCCGACTGTACCAACAAAAAGGGGGTGCTTTTTCCCATAGGGCCGCTTCTTTTCAGGGTTGATGTTTAAGGGGGAGCAAAAAGGGAAGACCTAGACTGTCCGGCTGCTTCAGGCCCTTAAAGGGATGACAACGGGGCCCGGAATCAACCCCGCAGGCTTTGCCTGCTTGATTGCGAGCTCACCGATTCGTGGATTAAAACGAGCTCACCATTAATGTTCGTTGCTGGGGGATCTCTCGTTTTTGGTGTTGGAATTAGTTATATTGTGAGATTCGCAGCTATTGCGGTTTCGGGGGTGGGTGGGTATCCCATACGGTGGACTCACTTCCCAAGTGTTTGATCTTTCTACTTTTCGGGAAGACCACGTTTTTCAGAAAGGGTTTCGCCTGAGCCGGGTTCCCAGTTGGGCCCTTGGGGTTTGCGAATCTGGAGGTCTCGGATTACTTTGAGAGAATGACAGGGGGACCACCGTAGTTGGGTCTATACTTGCTCCAGGAAGCGGGGAATGACGATTTTTCTTAGCAACATGTTCAATTACCCAGACCTCCACCTGTGCCCTTGTCAACCTTTCTGGAGGTGGCTTTCCTAAGTCGATTTCTCCGCCACTGGAGTCTGGTAAGATTTGCTGGTCAGTTTGACTAGGGCTTTTTCGCAAGGTACAAGATGCAGATGTGGAACAGCTTTCCCCCGCTATTCCAGAACACCATCTTTCACGGCGAGCAGGCGCTGGGGCGTCGGGAGTCAGGCCTCCCTTCTCGGTGTCGTCCCTCCGAGTTTGCGTGTGTTGTATTTACGTGTTTGCATGCGTTCATTGTGCTTGACATGTGTGTCGTCCCAACTCCTGTGGCACGTGCTCAGGGTTCCCCTGGAACTGTCACAATGTTCTAACTTATCTAAGGGTTTCATGACCATCTCCAGGTGTTTACAACATTTTCACAACAACAGTTCACAAATGGGCCCGCTTGGGTACGATTTTTAATGGGGGATCCCTTGGCGAACATCGTGTATTTGTTTTCTAATTGGTGCACACAGGAAAGCAAGGAAGATGAAGGCTGTGTTCGGTTGACCGGGAGCGAGTTGAACTAGCTGAGCCCGGAAGCTTCCCTTGGGAACCTTGGCGAACATCGTGTATTTGTTTTCTAATTGGTGCACACAGGAAAGCAAGGAAGATGAAGGCTGTGTTCGGTTGACCGGGAGCGAGTTGAACTAGCTGAGCCCGGAAGCTTCCCTTGGGAAGTCACTCCCAAAGTCCGAGGCAATAGATCCCATACTTCGTACTTTGAGTGCAGGTTTTCTACCGCTTTGAGATTTTTGGGGTTTGGATTTGGGTTGTTCGGCCTCGACCTGTACAGCGTTCCCAAAAGTCCACCGGGAGCGCTTCCCGGCGAGGACCTGAGCATCGCGGCGCTGCGCAAGGCCTCGCTCGCCGAGCGCTTGGCAAGGGCCAAGGTGGGCTCCGGATTTTTTTTTTGGCCGCGGAAAGGATCGGATCGGCGAAACAAGCGGTGCAAAAAGGATCGGCGAGACGAACAGTTTCACCCTTCCTGAGTTCCTCTGCTTGTTTCTTTTTGGGAAGACCATGTAGCTAGTGGTTTAACCAGAAGGTTTAGACTGGTTTTGGCCAATCCACGCAGGAAGTGAGGTTTGGTTCATGGGAAGGTTGACCCCATCCAGCTGTGATGCCCATTTTGGAGGCTTCCTGAAGGCTTCGTTTGGTAGCCCTGCTCGTCCCTCCGCCCCCCACCCCCCCCAAAAAAGAAGCACAAAAAGCAGGAGGTTTAGAACCCCATTTAGCAACCAGAGGCGACCAAGCCCAGCAGGTCCGCACGAGAACCCAGATGGTCACCATGATTCCCCCTAAACCCAATGCCCAAAGCCCCGAAAGGCCGTCCAACCCCAAGGATTCCGACGGTTCAGTCTCAACCACCAGCTGAAATCTGACCGTCAACGGCTGATCCCTGTTTGTTTGTTTGTTTTTCGGTCCAGTACCCCAATGTTGGGTGGGTTTTTGGTGATTCTTGGGAGAATTGCCGTTCGATTTCTATGATTCAGGCATAGAACCTGTTTGAGGAGTCCCAATGTCTTTTCTGAAGGGAAGTCTGGGCCGATGCTGGCGGCAATCTTCTTTGGCAACCGAATCTGAGTCCCCCGCTTGATTGATACAAGGTGTCCCAGTTCAAAGCGGGTTCTTCACTGATGATCCATGAAGTTGTCTGGTCCGGAGTCAGGATGTTATCAACAAAACATACTCAGAACCGGTTATAATATATATATATATATATATATATATATGGATGTGTCTTAAGATTGGGAAAAGCGTCCGCATTGATTTCAGGGTTGAATTTTGAAGCAGAAGCAGTTTCAACAATCCAATATTGTTGGCCTTGTTGCAGGAATTAAGGTATCATGAACTGCACAAATGTCCACTTTCAGTCCAGAGCATCGCTATGGGTCCCTGTTTGTTTACATTTAAGATTGGCTTGGAACCACCATGTAGTCGAATTTAATGCTTCTGTTTTTTTCTTGCTGGATCTAAGGGCTGCATTTTACTGATACTTCCCGTAAAGCGGTTTTATTGCCTTGCGATGGTTCTTCCACTTGTCCTTGGCCCCTCTTTGGGAGTGAGCTGTTGTCCTGACGATATTGCCAGTCCGCAGCGTTTTGCGGTGTTGCCCCACATTCAGGCCCCCTGCACAACGGTTGTGGCAAATGGATAAGGAGTTGCCACGTTCTGTGAAACCTTTGGGGAATCCGGATGCCTGCTTTGAAACGACAATGTAGGCATAGAGAGATTCCCCTTGTTTCCATTGGCATCCCTTGATCCAATTTTCTATCCTTCCGGGGTCTTTGGAGCTACCCCGCTTTCAGAAGGGCACAACAAATGCCTATTTTCTTTGTTGCACTTTGCCAAGGGATGTTAGGACTTGCGCTTTTTGCCAACTTTAGTGAGTTTTCCGTATTAAGCCACGAAAAGTTTAAAAAAAAAAAAAAAAAAAAAAAAAAAACAATCTTTTGGCAGGGGAGCAGACTTCGCAACCGAGTTTCGTCAGGTCCCCCATTGGGACGTTTGCTTTAAGCCTCGATGTGGGATGGGGAGGAGCTCAAGGAGGAGGGCAACAGCCTGCTGAAGTCCAGGCGCGGGTCAAGCTGGGCTTCTGAACCCTAGCAAGCACTGGCCCAACCATCCCCAGTTTGAGGGTGGGGGGGTGGAGCCTATAAGGAATTTGCACATATACAAGTGTTTCCAGGGGAGGTCACAATAAAACTGGTTTCGCAGACCTCTATCTCTGCAGAGTTGACCTTTTTGCTCAACTTTTTGGGATTCGCTTCCCAACAGAATTCACGAACCAAACGGGCAAGTCCTTTTTCCGCATAAACATCTGCTGGAGGTCGAGGAAGTGCCTCGAACATCGAACTGCAGTCCAGTACTCAAGCAGCATTTTGGTTTTCTAAGCGATGGCCGGCAAGAAAAGGGACGGCCGTATGCTCATTTTGGGGGGTCCAAGTGGACAGAAGTGAGTTGGGCAGAAGCTTGCATTTTTTCTTGTAGCTGACATTGCTGGTCAACCGAAATGGATGAGGCCAACTTCCAAAAAAACATGTACCTGACACTGTGGGTCCCTTTGTCTCCGCTTCGAGGGGGTTTCCAGGAGCTCGAATGCTGAGAAGCCTGTGGAGGAATCTCCGGAGCTGTCCCAGGAAATTGAGCCGCTCGGCCGGTGAGTTCAAAACGGAAATGTTTCGCCCAGTGGTGAAGTAGCTCAGTTGCCTAAAGCGAATCGACCTTTTGACCTTTTGGTTTTCCTTGTATTTCCAGATCTTTTGGGGCAAGTGAGAAACAGGGTACTTTGTTTTTCCCCTGGTGACTCGATGTTGCAGATCTGTGCAAATCATATACGATCCAATTCCCTGCCTTAACCCCTTCTTTGTCCGGTTTGCTCCAAATTAGGCCTTAATATGGCCACAATATGTGTTGTTTTGTTGACGTCGAAACGGAATGTGCATTGTGACCTCACGCGACGAAGGTTCCTTTGTCGAGGTCAGAAAATGTCAATCTGCTGAAACACAAATCACCCAGGCAAATTCGCTATATGCTTGTTGGCTATCGCCAGCAGCTGGTTGACATTTTTCAGTGGCGTCCACTTCAATCCGCTTCACCTTAGCCTGCTTGAAACCGCACGGCTGGAACACATCGTTTTGCAAAATGACTTGAATGCGATAGTTCATAGTGGTCTATGGTTCTCCTTGCAGGACATGGCGGGTGCCCAGTTGCTCCTATTTGTCGACTGCCCAACTCAGTTTTGTTTCACCATTCTCGATTGGTGGGTTCATTGAGATGTGCACTTCAATTGAACGTGTTTGCAATACTTGGGATATGGTGGGATATGGTGGGATATGGTGGGATATGGTGGGAATATGATATGGTGGGATATGGTGGGATACGGTGGGATACGGTGGGATACGGTGGGATTTATGGACATGTGCATTTGGCACGGTGCAAAAGGTACATACAGTTCTATTCCAAAGGTTGGTGTCATGCTGGTCTCCTTTCGAAATCGTCAGAAAGGGGTTCTTAGTTTTGACGCCACACACTCAAATCCTGAGCCAAGTACCACGCATGTCAGCGAGGGGGTTCGTTTAGGGGCCAGCCATACCTAGAACCTACGGGTCCGCTGCGAGCAGCACACACGGCGTCAGTGCACACCTGAGCCTCGTTTCGGAGCTATGAGAGGAACACACACACACACACCACGGTTGTTACTATTGTGCAGGTTGTGTCATGGTCTAAGGGTTGCAAGCTGTTTTGTTGCTTCACACTACTTGGCGTAAGCTTTGAAGGGTGTGACCCTTCATGGTGCCGTGCTGAGTGAATGGCAAAGCGAGGAAACCAAAAGAGCAGAGGCATAGACAAATAGCTCAGGTCTTTGCAAGTTTTCGATCCAAAACCAACAGGCTCGATGTGTCACCTCCATCCAAATGGACGTGTTCCGCGTCGATCTCAGGCGGGTGGAGGCGGCTATTTGGGAGAAGGAGAGGGAGCTGAAGGAGCCGATGGGACTTTTGGGGTAGCCTTTTGGGGCTGATTTGAAGGGAAACGGAACTTCAGCGGCCCGTACAGTTGGGTGCAAATTGATGGCACCATTCTCCAATGTCATCCAGTATACACACCCAAATGCAGGAAATTGTGCAGTTTTCTTTCTCACATGGACTTGGATTCGTTTGAAGGGGGGCTGGTTTCCCATGGTTTTGCATTGGTTCAACTCCCAGGGGCTGGTCCTTTCGTTCGCCAAGGCATGCACCAAGCCCTGCACATCGACAAGGAGTAACAAAGACGATAATTTTGGTGAGAAATGAGCGCTACACTTGCAAGTGTGCTACACTTGTAGTGAAAAGTTGCGACTTAAGGGGGGCAAATTGATGATATTGCACCACGCAATGATGATGTTGGACCCCACAATGATTATCTTCCTTTTGTTCCGCTTTAAACTACATCAAAAAGGGGATCGAGCCTCAACAAGACACCCGCATTTTTTTTCCAGAGCCCTCGTGTCAGCTTCCTTGATTGGAGGGTTATCGTTCGATCAGGTCTTTCTAGTTTCAAAGGATGGCATTGACCCTAGCAACGGCCGATATTGCAAAAAGTCGGATTTGGATGGTCCCCTATCGTTTTGCCCCTTTGGTGTCGGTTTTGGGTAGTCCCACCCGGTTTCCGGCGTTGACATAAACCATGAGAGGTGCGTGCCAGTCGGAATCGCGAGGTCCGTTCATGCACTTCGTTTGTGATGCGCTTAAAACGCTCTGTCGATGAGACAGATGAATAGATAGAAAGATAAACAGATAGAAAGTGAGATTATGCAGAACGATACGTAGATAGATTGAAGAGAAATAAGTATCGATTGTAGATTGATAGATCGATAGAAGGCGAAAATAGATAGATAGAAAGTGAGACTAGCCCGGTCGATAGATAGGCAAAGGGATAGATAACGAGAGGGATTAGAGCGGTAAGTGAAAAGATGGACTAGTAGACAGATACACATATTTCTTGATGGACAGTGAGACAAGACTGATAAAGTGAGCTAAGGTTGGTCGACAGGTAACTAGACAGATAGCAATAGGCCGCTAATGATTGCTAGGTAGACAGAGAGATTAGAAGCAGTAAGAAAGATAGCTAGACAGATAGACATACATGTTGAGAGATAAATGGATGAGACAGACAGATGGATCAATTGGAGAGATAGATGGATAGATTGATTGATCGACTGATAGATAGATAGATAGATAGATAGATAGAAAGATAGAACGTGAGATTGGGATGGTTGATAGGCAGATAGGCGGATAGATCGGTAGACATATTAGATAGATAGATGGACAGACAGGCAGAAAGAAAGATAGATAGATGCAATAGAGCGATAGGTAAAAAAATAATGAAAGAACGAAAGGGAAATAAAGGGAGATATGTAAATAAAGAAAGGACAATAAAGCAGATAAATAACTACGAAAGGACCTTGGCAAGGATAGATCAGGTAATAAGAAACTAGAAAAGACTGATACCGATAGCTATAATGTTTTATTCCTATTGAAGCTTCCGCCCACCAGCTTCGCTGGCTCCACTGCTATACCGCTTTTATAAGATTCAACTCATTTTGGTGGTGGTATATGTATATATAAATATGTACAGCCAGGCCGCCTGGAAAAGAAAGCACGCATGCGCAAACACATACACATACTGAACAAATGAGCTGAGTAGTCACGGAGCCTTTCTACCAAACCCAAACCAGACCCTTGAGGAGCCTATTACCGCCGCTTGCAGGATAGTAATTAGAGGAACTTGCATTTTGCCCTTAGCCTTTTTCTGAAGCCTGTAAACATCTTTAGAACCATCCAGAAGTCCATGGGTTTTGGGCGCTTGGATCGCCCTGACAGGAGCTCCGGCAACAGTTGGCGTCCTTGAAGGCACAAGTGAAGCCAAAGCAGGCGAGCAAGCCACCGATTCGGGGGTCGTAAAAGCGAGCGGCTTTGGCTAGGATGGCCTTTGCCTGGGGGATTTCCAAATGTGCACAAATGTTCAGCTACAAAACATGCTGTGCAATTTGAACCAATTAGCAATTGTGACATATTGTAAACATAAGCATGTTTGTTTTTGTTACCTGCGTTGTAGACATTTGTAGACACATACAGTATACAGCTGTGTTGGTGGTGCTGTTGCTGCGCCCTGCAGTTTTAAGTAACCCAAAGAGGAAAATCATTGGTTTTTCAGATCCTCCATTTAACACCAAGAGAAGTCCGTGCAGGACGTTGATCTTTTGCAGCTGGTGTTCTGTGAACGTGCATTTCGCAAGCACCATGCTCGGATAAAGGCTGCTGCAGTATGCCGATTCTGCATGGCTGTCCATGATCCGTAGTTTTGCCGGGTATGGGCTACAGGAGAATCCTAAATTTGATCCTGCAACCTAACCATTCGACCCTTCGACAGTATGCGTTCGGTGTTCTTCCGTTCCTCCCTACTTCCAGAAAGGGCCGGTGGCCGGTGATTTCAACCATGTTTCGCCAAGCATTGAGCTTGAGCGTGTCAAACTCGACTCAGGGTTCCCCATTTTCCCATTTTGAGTTGCTTGAAATCTGCAAACATCACCTGTTGGGCCACCTCGAAGTGGATCCCGTGGTTGGTGGCTGGTGGCTGATGTTTCTTTTCCAGGAGTCAAGACGGATCTTCTGGGGGTTGAGTCCATCCCATAGCCCAACCCTCGTTTGAAAGCACTGGTTTTTGGGTGGTTTGAGGCTTTCTGGTGGAAGCTGGAAAGAAAGTTCTTCCTAGATGTCTGATATTCCTCTTATACGGGTCAAAGAGTTCTCTTACAAGAAAACATCAAGGGTCCCACACCTGTGGTGCCAGTCGTTCCTTCTTGAAGGGATTTCCCTGCAGCATCATCTAAAGAATCAATTCAAAGCACTGTTTCCACCGAAAACCCGTGAAATTCTGGGCTGGTACTCAGCTTCCCCCCAATTGATGGTTTGGTAGACAAGGTGGTCCCCGATTGGTTCTTCTTGGTCGGAAAACTCCAGTGTCATACCCCAGTTGTTCAGCGCCCGTTGTCTATTTTTTTTCCTGAATGATAAAGGGCCCTACTCTGACCAGGCAATCCATGCGCTAGCCTGGGGCAAAAGACCCAACAAATGGCCACGCCAAATGAGGCTTGGCCAACATGTCCAGTCTGTGATCTAAAACATGAAGCCTCGGTGATGTAATTTTTAAGTATTTTTTTTTGTTGTGGGTCAGGATTTCCATGCATTGTTTGCATGTTTTTCCCCACCCTTCGGTGCGCTGGGATGTGGTTGGATGCGCAGGTGCACTTTGGTAGTAAAGAGTTGCGTCCTTCCGGGCGCTCACTTCCTGCAGTGCGTGTTGGCACTGTTGCTTGTCCATGCATGGGCTCTAAGCGCGCTCTCGCGGCCATTGGTAGGGTCTTACTGACTCACGGATTGCCACGCACCCGCCGAGCAGCGAGCAGTGTCAAACATGGAAAGCGGTTGGTGAAGTATCACTAGTTTGCACAGAAAGTATCAGAGTCACCCAATCTGCAAATGGCTGTGGGTCAAAATTAATCCACCAGGAATTGGACCGCAGATTTTTGTCCATGTTTCCTCTTACCAGTTCCATTTTTGGGTTACCCCATTTTTGACCACCACTGCAAATCATTTTCCTAGAAAAACGATTGTCAACCAAGCACCAACTCTTTGACCCACAGCCAAATGGAGCACGTGAACTGCTGGGTTTCTGAAATTTCCCGCCAGGTGCCGCAGGAGATTTCGGAGGACTCCGAGCGTCAGGCTTTGGAAGAGGCGGTGCGCCGCTATGAGAAAGCGGCGGGATTGCTCAGAGCCTCGGCGGTTTCAAGGGAAATGTTGAGCTGTGGGTGCCAAATAGTGAATGTCGGATATTGGTTGTTTTTCCAGACGCCCTATTCGGAACCCAGCTCAAAGCTGAAGAACAACCAAGCCTCCTTTCCCATGGGAAACCTGTGTGTTTGTGGAAACTCGTGGGTGTTGGGTGACCAGTTTCTGTGATACAAGTAGTCCCCTTCAAAGTTCAACGATCTGCGTATGACTGAAAAAGGTTTTTCAATACTTTTTTTAAACACAATCACGCTCAGCTGAGTGGCAACAGCCTGTGGGGGCCCTAGCCGTCCCGTATTTAGATTTGTAAACATGAACAGGTGTCCTCACAGACATAACAACAAAGAAATAGATACCATCAAACAGGTATGCGTTGCATATATGTATTTGTAGATGTCACACCTGCATGTGTTTGTGTTTGTATATATATATATATATGTATGTATGTATATATATACACACATACGTATCGATGCATCGACAAAGCCCAGTGGATTGGCTGACAACTTGGGCTTAATTCCCCATGACTTGGGGAGTACACGAGCGCATTTTGGTTCGTCCTACGACTGATTTTGAAATTTGGCAGGCTCTTGTCCAAGTGGCGATGTTTGTGTTCGGATTCGTACACCTTGTTGACACTGAGAGAACCCGGGGGACTGCCAGTAAAAAACTTTACTCTGGTGGAATCTAGGGGGAATACATGGTTGTTGTTGGGAAACATTTTACATTTTTGCTTATGTTGGTTTAGTGGGAAATCCCACGAAACTGCTAAATTTTTAACGTTTGCTCCCCTTCCAACGTCAACCAAGAAGAAAGGAAGCCCTGTTCGTTCCAGGTCCTCCTTCATTTTGGGAATCGTAGGATTTCCCCTGGCAAATTTCAATTCTGGTTGGCTCCAACGAAGCTGCCACTTGCTGTGGGGCAAGCCAAGAAATCGAGCGTGCTTGGCGCGTCTAGGTTTCCTGTGGTTTCCCTTTGAAACTACCACAAAAGCATCATCCTGTTTGACGTGATCACGGGTAAAGTTGGAAGCCTTTCCAACGACCTTGGAAGAACCGCGAAAGACCTTGAGGTGCACTTTGTGAGCGTGGGGTTGGACCGATTGCCTTCCTCTACCCAGACCTGCGGTGGTTGCCCTTTTGTTCCATGTATATACTTTTTTCAGAGTGGATTTCCCTTCAATCTCAAGTACCCCAGTAAAGGGTGCCTTTTTCTTCACATGCTTGCTGGAGTGGGTTTAGAATCCATTGCTGCGCTTCCCTCAGAGAATTTCGATATTCCCAAGCCACCTGGCTAGGGCAAAACAGAGTAAATGCTCTTTCAATAATTCTCACGTATCAGGATACGGTTAATCCCAGAAGTCGTTTGGGATTATTGGGACTATTGGGATTATTGGGACTTCTGGCACATCCGGTTAATTTCCCCCAGTTGTTTGGGATCGTGGAAGCCCTCTTGCATCCCTTGACCAAGGATATGTCGAGTGCATCCGACCCGACTGGAAAAACGATGACGGCTCCTACAAGGTGGGTGGCCTTGTGGTTGGATGTGCAACGCGGTGCCTTCGTGAGCTAGGACGAAAGCTTCACGTTATTAACAGACGCGTTAGCTGATTGCACGGATCTCAAACGGGGGCATTAGGGTGGCCCGCCCAACTACGTTTGTTTCTTTCGGTCCCCTTAAATCAAGCAGCAAAGGATGCCCTCAAAAGGCACACCCCCAAGGAGGTTGTTCAAGCAAGATTGGTTGCAACATGTGAGTGTGTATGTTATTGGGCTGGTTTGACGAGCAAGCAAAGGGAAACCTATCCAATTCTGCCCAACTTCCCCCCATCCCCCGGCCCACATGCACCCAACCAACCCCCCCCCCAACCAACCCACACCTGGAGGGCATCGAGGATGAGTGGCTGAGGGTGGTGGATTTGAAAGACCTCGAGGAGCCCGCGGAAGCCAAGGAGTTGGTGTCCTCCTGCTATTTGCACCTTGGCCAGTTCGCCGTTTTCTCGGCTGGCCTCCCACTCCACTCCTCAGAGAAGCAAACCAGCAGGAACCAGCGATGAACCAGTCGGCAGATTTTGGAGACGGCCAGAAAGAGGTCGTCCGCCTTAGAAAGGGGTTTGCCGCCACCACCAGCAAGTCAGAAATATGTCAATCCCGCCAAAGATGATCAACCACGCGGGTGTGTGCCTTTTGAGGGTACCATGTGTCACCTTGGTTTAAATGGACAAAGGACAACCACAAGGAAGCCGCCACCATTTTTGGGATCCCCTATTTTGACATTTATCAACATGTGGCGAAGTGGTGCTGCGAGGAACATTGCCTTAGCCTCACAGAAGCTCGAAAAGTTCGATGACATGAAGAAGGCGTGCGACGAAGTGCTGGGCAAGGTCAATCCTTCCAGCGCGCCTTGGCAGGAAGCCTTTTCCACCCTTGGACCCAATCCCGCTCAGGGCTCCCACAGCAGTTCATATCATATTAGGGATCATATGGGCATGAGTGTTAATAAGGAACCACCTCCCCACCTACATGATGCCCACCAAAGGGTCTACAATTAAAATATCTTACACCAGGCTTCCCCATATTTCCCCTTCAACATATCCATCATTTTTTTGGGAACTCAATCTGAATCTAAAAGCCGCCAAAGAGGTGATGTTTCAACTGGGGCCACGGGAAAAAACGACTCCCTTGCCACCCCTCGGCCCCGGCGTCGGCCCCGTCGGCCCAGGCGAAGGCGCTGTACCGCCGCGCTTGCGCACGGATGGCCCCGGCCTCGGCCGTGGATGCGGACCGAGACGCCGCGATACAGGACCGAGCCATGGGGGCGCCTCGGTTTGTGTTGATTCAAGAAAGGCAGAAACCCATAGGGGGGCTGCAAAATTATAAATCTCGGAGGGCACGTTTATAATCCCCTGCAGAAGGAACCACAGGCGACCAAGTACAGGTGCTTGTTTTTCCCGTCGTTTACGTGTTTTAGGTTCACAAAGTGCGGAACATAATCTTACAGACGTTGTCTTGCTGGGGGCAAATGCTGAAGTAGCCTTACGCATGTTGCGTGCCATGAGATCATGAGTTGTGTCTGTCTCAACCACCTGGAGTCTCTAATAGGGGACCAGTCCCAGGTGCGAGTATTCGCCCTCTTGTAGACATGTTGAATATCAGGCTTGATCTTGCCTACACAAGTTCGCCAGAGCCAAGTATTTTACGTTTTAGTGTTACGTTACCTTTGCTAGGTGTCTGCATCATGTTTGTCGAGCTAGAACAATTGTGAACGTTTTCTGGCCAGTCAACGCTGCAGGTCTATCCATGTGGCTCGATGTATATAAATATATTATGCATGTAATGTGATGCACTGTACTGTATTGCATTGCATTGCATTGCATTGCATTGCATTGGTCTTTTAAGCTAGTTTGTCTACCCAGGGGTCCATGACCAACTTTTTAAAGTCAAGCAGCACAATGCCCACACGCGTTTTGGTCTAACTATCCAGTCTCTGGTACATTCAAGAGGGGCACGGGGCAACTCACATGTCCCAAACTCAGGGCATGTTCCCACAAAACGTCAGGGGACTCGCAATTTGTCCCATGGTCTTGGAAAAAGCCTTGGTCAGACCCACTTGCCACAAAACATCCGGGGGCTCACTACTTTTCCCACGGTCCTCTTGGAAAAAATTGGCCTTGGCGCTAGTGCTACCTTCCATTTCCATTTCCAGGGATCCGAATCTAGAAACCCTCCGGAAATTCAGGGGAACGGATCCGGTTTTCAAAAAGAAGGATGGTTGAAAAGAATGGACAAGGAATCAACCCTGAGAGTAGTTGTCTTTTTGATTTCCCTTCAAATCTGGTTTCCCTCAAACAAGCACATCGGTTTTGGGTGCCAAATGGGAATGGGGAATCAGCCCTTAGATTGGTCATGTTGACCTTGCCTCTCACCAAACACGCTCTACGAGGACCTGGTAGCGGCGGCCAAGCTTGCGCCGCAGGACAAGGAGGCGGAGCAAGGAAAGCGCAGATGGGGATCCCTAAGGGATCCTTGGAGGATCCCTGGAAAATCCCTGGGAAAAAGCACATGTTGTTTTGGAAGTTGGGAAGATAAAATATTTCGACTTTTTCAGACTTGTGGATCTTTCAGGATCCAGTTTGTTGTTGTTGTTTCAACTTCCAACATTGTGTTTCAGCTTTCTGGGGTTGAGGGGAAACACCATGTTGGCGGATCTTTAGTTTTTGGCGCAGATCCCGGCCAATTCCAAAAACGGGCCCTCCTCGAACCCGCTTCAGCACAGGCAAACCATCGGGAAAGCATGGCTGTTCAGGTTTGAAGCCTGAGGTGGATATAGATTCCCAAGGATGCGCTTTTGGGCGGCTTGACCCGTCCCTCAAATTGGTCATCCATTGGTTCCTTTTAAATAGTCGAAAGACTATTGGAGCCAGGCTTACAATCAGGCCTGACCTTATTTTTTGCCACACCTCGTTATGGATCTCTCGGCCTACCCAAAAGATGCAAATAATATGTCCTTAGGCCCTTGCGATGGTTTTGGTGGGAACCGCTGACTGTCAAAAGCATGTGCTGGTGGCCATTCAGTTTTTTTTGTTTCAAGGTAGGCGAGCTCCTAGGCCGCGCTCTGAACTGTTGGATCACAAGTCTAACCCAAGGGAAAATGCAACGAGTTACAGCTGGGTGACAGTAGATGGCACACTTCCCCCACGCTGGTTTAGGCATTCCCTTGACTTGTACACATCGGGAATTGTGCCATTTTTCCCAAATGGGTGATTTGGATGGGTTTGAAAGGGAATGGAACTAGGATCCGCAGTGGTGGACCTCCATTAGTCGCTGGCAATTGGGATTTGCCCTGCTTGTGCTTTCCATGCGGAGGTGCGAAGCTTGCTGAACAGACTGCGGGACGAGAAGAAGAAGCAGGCAAGCGGAAGCATCGGCCGGCACCGAACTACATGCCGAAAGGCAAGCAAAAGTAAAGCGTGGGTCATAATCGTAGAACATGGATATGATGATTTCTGTAGCACCAAGGGAACCCCCTTTTAAAGTGAAGTATCTATGTTGGGGCTTCCTATGAAAACGTCCTTTAGCTTTAACGTGAAAGGGAACAAGGAGCTTTTGAGGGAACTGCCTTTTTATTGGCTTTGAAGGGAAACCCACAATTTACTGGGGGGGCTTCATTTACCCTCGTCGTGAAGTCTGTTCAACAACTCCCCCCCTGAGAAAAAAAAAAAAAAAAAAAAATAATAGCCAAACAACAAATAACAAAAATGCAGAAACAAACAAAACTATATATCGGCTGATTGGTTGGTTTTGGCCACCACAAAGTCGCGGATTTGGGCGCCGTACGTGGCATGTTCCACGGCGCTGATGTCCTAGGGGGTCCCTCGTTTGTGATCCCTGACAAGCCGATGAAGGTCTCCTCCCAGAGTTTCGCTGGCGCTGGCCCGTTTGTCGGACCTCCGAATTGGCCGAGCCTGACGAAACCCGCCCAATCCGAACGGAAAGCCGCAGGAGTTGGAGAAGCGGAGCACCTTCGGAGGCCTCTTCCAACGAGGTGAAGTGGCCACTGGGCCCAAGGGCCATCGCGTGCAGCGCGGGTTAGGCTGCGATTGCGTCATGCGTTGACCAAGCCATCAAACAGGAAATGTTAGGGATCGTTGCAAATCCTTCAGAACTTGACTGGGCTCGCTGCGCAATCGACTAGGTTGATTCAATGGAAACCAAAGCCATGCTGCAGCTATACCAGAGCCTTCCCCGCCGACCAAGGAATCAGGATGCCCAATTTAACCAGCTTTCCGCTTAGTCCTCGGGCAAAATCAATGATGTCATTCGCTAGATATTTTTGCCCCGCCGTCTAACATGGAACCCACCAGAGGGTGACTTGGGGAAACAAACATGGTCCAGGAACCAGAACCTGTCGTCAGGTTCCATGTTGGATGGGTACTTCACCATGTCATTTCCATTGGCCCTGTCCTCCGGCTTTATGCCTCGCCTTGCCAGAGGAGCTTCCTTACGGATTTGTTGCGGCGAAGTCTTCATGAAGCGACGGCTTTGTATTTCGCTTCCCCAGTTTCTGGAGTTTGTTTTTTTTTGGGATGGGATTTCTATGGTGAACAACAAGTCGCGACTTGTTCTGAGCGATGAACTCAGGAAGGGAGAGAAGGGAAGCCCCCAGGCCCAAACATGGCGGAGCTGTTCAGTCGCCCAGGTCAAAGAGGTGAAGGAGACGAATCCGAAGGCTGAGCCAAGTAACTGGGACTTGAACGACCCCAAGGTACAAGAGTTCTTGGACATCCGACCAGGACCTGGATACAGGTCGTGAGATCGATCCGAGCGTTCAGCATGCATGTCAATTCATATGAGCCTCCGCCGAAATCTGCGATTCGATGTTCTGCTTGCAATTAGAGGCAGGTCGCACCCCTGCACAACGTGTTTCATCCTGGAAGAGTATGTTTGGTGCTCAAGGATACTTTCGGAATGTCGTGCCGAGGCTCGCATGTAAGCAAGACACGGCCCAAGACGGGCAGGTGTACAAAGACCCGCAGCGACCGCAAAACTATGGTTGCCACTTGGAAGGAGGACATGAAGCCAAGGGGGTAACACCCTTGAGAGGCATGTTCATGTGGGTTGTTTTTGAGGGGACCCCCGCAACTTTGGTTGGCTTGCAGAAACCACGGAGAGAAATCGGAACTCCCTGTTTGAGGGAAACAGGTCCGCGGCTTGCTCCAGGCCTACCACACATCGGGGATGCACTTTTGGATAAACTCACTGGGGTCTCAGCAAACACTAAACGTGGTCTAACTAACGCGGTCTACCGCGATGCATTTTGCAGCAAGATGCAGCATGTCTGCAACGCATCAGCGACGCGCGACGTGGGACGCACCACGCCGCATCACGCCGCGCAGTACTCGCTGCGCCGGCGCATGGCCGACGCATGACGTAGAGACGCAGCGCGAACTCATCTCGCCGAATCTCGCCGAATTTCGCATAATCCTAGACCACATCTATTAGACCATGGTCCCCTAGACCCGGTCCCCTCAAGTGGCTGGTGTTTCTTTGGGTTTCCCTTCGTAAAAGGGGCCCGGCCATTTGAGAAGCTCCGAAGGCAAAGCCAAAAGAAGCACCTCAGGAAGTGCTGCACCTGTGACCGTGGCTGGGCGTGGTAGTTGAGCTCCTTGTGATAGGAAGCAAGAAGTCGATTGAACTATTTGGTGCCCGGATCTGCAGTGTCCATTTTTGCCTTTGCAGAGAAGAATTGGCCACTGAACGTCAATATTTGCCGTCATCCACTGTACTGAAGGGGAATGACATGACACACACTTGCCAAGTATCATTTTGAATTGTGGGGGTGTTCACCAAACTTCTTGTCATTGGCGGAAACACTCAATGCAGAGTGTGCCTGCATTTCGAGGCTCGGTACTTTTTTTTTTCTTCCTAAGGTGAACCGCCTTTCGTTGGGTTCCCGGGACATGCCCATAATAGGGTTCTAAATTGAGGCTTTGGGTTCATGTCAACTCGAAACCAAAGGGAGGCCACCATTTGGTGGGTTCCCCGTGTTGGGACTTAGGATTTCGTTTGAGCCCTCTCATTGGAGCTGAGGCCACGCACACTGGCAAGTTGTACCTGAAGTACAAGGCTGTGTCCCACAGATTTTGGATGCAGGTTGTTCAGAGAAGCCCTGCACTTTGGGGTGGAGACCATCTGCCCGAGGAACTTTGTTCTTTTGGGAAGGCCATTCTAGGGGCAACCACGAAGCTTGGCCCTTTTTGGCCAATCCACTCAGGCATTGAGTGGAACAGTGGAACGGGTTTTTACTTGCGAGAATACAGCCTGGGAAATCCAGCTCGGTTCCAGACTGCCAGCAAGGATTGGGTTCCCCCGGCCAGAAATTGCTTGGACCATTTCACTAGGTCTGCGACTCTAAGAGACCCCTTGATGAAATTACATCAAATGGGTGTGGCTCGCTGGGGTTGCGCAGGTTTTAGTCTTTGGTTCCATGTACCAAGGAGCCATTTTGGCATATTTTTCTGAGCCACAGCCAAATGTGTGGTTGGTCTCGCTCCCTGGCCCAGACTTGAGCACTCTTACATATATTTTTTTCGCGTGTGTTTCAACCAAACAGGGGATGGCCACAGTGAGGCCAATATTGATACATCCAGCCGGCTTCACATTTTCCGGCCGCACCCGCCTTGTTTTTGGACAGGAGATTGAGAGCATTGGCACCATGCAGCGTTTGTCTTAGGCTCGGAGGTCAGGTCCTGCCGATTTGGCGAGCAAAATCGATGCGCATGCAAGTTGAACGAAAGCCATGTAGGTCTTTACTTTGTTGAACCATCACAGCTTGTAATTATGCAAGATCCATCCATTCAACGGTTGAGCCATCATGCAAGTTGAATCTGTAGGTTGAACAGATTGTATCGTCCGCAGATCCATCACAGCCGCAGAAAGTTGGTAGGCTCATGAAGCTCAAGTGGCCGCGAACAACTTCCTCACTGGCGCAAGTTGTAATCAAAGCTTCCGCTGCAGACCACAGGCGTTGTGCCTAAGGGAGTTGTGGTGTATCAGTGTTGGCAGCATGTGCAAGTTTGTTGGACTTTACACCGTGGTTGGCATCCTTTTCAGCTTTTCGGTTTCCTTTCACAAGCATCCATCAACATGGGCTCAACTTGATTCTCCCTTCACAAGCACCAATCAACATGTGCTCAACTTGATTCGAGCTCTTGACCAAGGTCACGTAGAAGCACGAAGTTCAGGTGCATGTTTCTGTTTTCGTGGACCCTTTGTTGGGTTGGTTCGCAGCGAAGCCAAAACAACACACCAACCCGAAAAACGTGGGTAAACCCCCCATTTTAAGATCCAAACTGCGGGTTCCCCGGCCCATTTTCTCAGATCCACCTGGATCCACCGCACCGCGGTTCCTCTCCCCGGTTTCCCCCCGCCATGCTGCGCCTCTCCCATCCGTCCGTCTGGGAGGACTTCGACCCGCTGGAGGGCTCCATCTGCTGCGGCACGCAGCTGGCCTGGGGCCCGGGCGGGGCGGTGTGGGCTCAGCGGTGAGGTCTCGGTCGGTTTTTTTTGGAGGCAAAGGTGGTGGCTTGAAATTGGTTGGTGTCCTGAAAGAAAATAAAAACCACACGGATTTGCCAAGATGTGGCAAGTAGGGTGTAGGTTGCAAGTTTCTTTGACACCAACTCCCCTGGGGCATAGATTTGTACGCATGTGCCATTGCGAATGGGTTTCTTAGGGCAGACAAGTTTTGGGCCGCCCGAGAACCCTTTCGTTGCTCAATATAGATCTGCTTCCTCGCATATTTTTTTGATTGGAGCACGTCTATAAAAGAAGGTTCCCTCGGCACCGTGCGGCCTGGATTGGGGGCGTTTCCTGAAACTTCATCCTGTTGATTGCCACCGTAAGTTTTGAGTTGCCTTTTGGCGGGTGATGTGTAAGTCAATTCCATCTTTTGAGGAGTTTGGACCGATATTCCAATATACAAAACACAGGTCCAAAAGATGGGTATGCGGCACGTGTCAAAATAACGCGTCAAAATAGGGGGACCCTAAAAATGATTGTTATCTTTTTCACTTCCCTTCCAACTTAACCCGAAAAGGGTCCCGTGGAGAACACGCACGCACCCATTTTGCTTGACATTTCAAAGACACGTTGTTGCCTCTTGCCCATTGCAAGTGAGTGTCCGGTGTTTCTTGGTCGCACCCGTTTCCTTTTTTTTTCTCCCGGCTGAGGCGTACAGCCCCTACGGCTTCGTGGGTTGTTGCGGGGGCCGGGGGCCTTGAGTCCATTTGATGGCCATTGGCCCGGGATCCGATCTGTTCTATGTCCTTTTGAGGATCGGTACCTTTTTGGTTGGCTTGCTTTAACTGGGCAGGTTCGGATAAGTATGGGGAATTGAATCCCTTGAGCACAAACTCCAAAAAAAGCCTCTAAAGGGTTGGGTCACTTTGAAGGGCTTTGTACAGGTTGATCCCAGTCTGCTAATCCTTTCAGAAGCCACTGAACTGATATGGTGCTTCTTATTTCTTGTCTCATGTTCTGAAAAAAGAAGGATTAGGACAAGCCATGGGCGCGTGCAACTTCTTCACAATGGACGTTTCTGTCAAAGCAAGCCCGTATGTCCAGTTGGTGGCTTACCCATGCAATCGCCTTCATGTTCCACGATGAAAGCCACGCATAGATCTTTTCTGCTGCTCCAAGCGGCTATGTGTTGCAAGCTGCAATTAGCAATCGCCTCGCATTTTTTTGCTGTTCCATATCTTCGCTTCCAACCAACAGTTTTCACGGCCAGTTGGTTTGAAGTTGGAGTACTGCCTGCGGGGCGAAGTTCCGGCGATGTTTGCCATGCGGCGTTTGCTTGACATGTGTTTCTTTAACCATGCCTGGTTTCGAATGTGAATGTGGTAAGTAATTAGCGCTCAATGTGGTGTTACTAGTATGTTGTGTGTTTGGTTTTCAATTGCATGAGAGATGAAGGCCACTCTTGCAAAGATCACTTTCACCTGCTGACGTGAGTTCCAGAATAGAAGACCTGTGCAGTGCAAGGATGTGGGAAGCACAAGCACATGAACGTTGCGTATGTTGTTTGCAGTCGGTTAATGCTGTCAATAGAAGCCAGCCGCAGGACATTCTGAATTCTACAAGAAACTGCCAGGACATTTGCCTGGTTCTAAATCAATTCCTGTAGCTGGCGTCTTTAAAAATACAAAACACATGGAGCTGGAGCTGTGTTTTTTTTTCAACTACTTAGCTTATCGATGCTACGACCCGCTGCAATGTTGTTCTGATGGTCCCCAGAGAATGCGTAGTTGATCATAGTCACAGCACTTGTTGACACTCATGCAGAACAGCTACACAGAGGTATGGAGCCTCTATGACAAACAACAGCACACGCGCATGCGTAGCAACTCCTTTATTGGTATGCCGCCCAAACGGCATTGTACAGTTTCATGGTGGCCTCAGAACCGTCACAATGACTCTGGTGATGTGGGGCCACTCCAAATGATGCCGGCATCCCAATGAGAGAACAAGGGTCTTAGGGAATTGCAACAATTTCCTTGTTGCAGGCCCCAGATGGCCCCAGCATTTAACTAAGATCCCTTGCCGCCTCTTGGCCTTTTCCTCCTTTTGGGGTTGGGCCTTCTTTTCAACTCAGGGCAAGCCCATGCGTGTCCTTCTGGTGGGTCCTTTTGGCACAAAAATCATGGCAGTGGTGTGTCTTTGCTTCCATGCAAGTACCAGTGCTGTCGATTCCTCCAAAAGCACACCTATACTTTCTTTTCAAGAGGGGAACTGGTCGAAGTCTGAGGCGGCATGCTGTCCTTCCTGGGGCGTTGCTTCACCTACGACAAGACCGCGGACGGCTACTTGCGGGGCGAGGCTTGGTGCCCAGTGGAAACGACGAGTGGTCAAGTTGTTCAACGTGGATTTAGGGTGAGCAGCACTCTAGGCTATTTTAGTAGGTGATAATAGGTGATTCTGATGCCTGGCTTATATTTTTGATAAGCATGTGAGTAGATCCAACAGTCAATGAGCTTTGGGCGCTGCTCATGCCGTTTTGCACGCTCAGGCTGGCACTCATAAAATAGCTGTACCATCAGCAACAAGAGACAAAGACAAAGGGCGCTGCTCAAATGCTTTTAACAGATTGTACGCCCTACATGCAAGCGTTTGGTGTCTTTGCTTTCGACAACCGCCACTCAGGTTGTCCACCATTCGTGACCACTTTGGGATGTTGACATTTGGGGATCGCCTTCGGGTTCCCCAAAAATGGGACACTATTTCGTCAAGCCCCTCCCCCCCTATGCTTAGGTGTATTGAGCTCCTTGCATTTAATGTAATGGCCAACTTGCATACCCCAAGTGGATTTCAGTGGTATGCATATATGGGTTATACAGGATAGAAACCCCAATATCCATCCCTAAGTTGGCCCGGACCTTTCAGAATACGACCCCGAGTCAGTCCGGCCTCGAATAGCTCCCTACAGACCAGAACTGGAGTCACGGTTTTGTTCGTCACGGCTAGACCCGCCCCAGATGCCGAACGTACTCCTTTTTGCCTTGCGTGCTTGTTGGCATGGTTTGCGGGAACTTGGGTTTCAGGACCATTCTTTGCTGCTTTCCTTTTAAAAGCCATCCAAAAAGGGCTATTTTGGAAAAGGGGCAACCTTTGCAGAATCCCTCTAGCTCACCTTGTGTTGGTTGTTTTCCTTTGAACGCATCCGAAACGGGTATCCCTATATCGAGGAATACCTTGCAAAGCATGCGGTTTTGGGATCTATTCTTCATGAAATTCTGGGCTTTTTCATTTGGAGAAAGGAGCTGTTTTTTTTTCCGCACCCGTGGAAACGCGCCCATTTTTTCGTCCAGGGAGTGGCGGGCATTTTCCTGGAGCTCCAGGAGTACAGCAAAGAGGCACCAGAGACCCGTCGCTGCGGGTTCGGGCTTCCCCATGTCGCGTGTGTTTTACTCACTTGCCCAAAGCCAACCTTTTGACCTTTTGGTTTTCCCATTTTGGTCCATTTTTAGTAAAGGTCCCAAAAGGTTAACCTTTTGTTTCCAGGTCTTTTGACCCGGTTTGGAAAACCAGAAGGAGAACCATGTTCAGTTTGGGGCCCCAAAGGGAGGTTTGGTCAAAATGTGTGGATGTGTCTATGGTTCATTTAGGACATGAGCGAACTCACATCAACACCAAGGTGCTCTGATCTTCCCATGTCTTCTTGTAGGGAGAAGTCATTTTGACAGTGGCTTATGTGCTATGGTCAAACACGCCTTTGAATGAATGATATTTGACCCCATGGCATTGACGGCGTAGGTTTCAGGAGTTTGAAAGCAAACGCACACAGAGCAACCACTATGATCACAAGGAGTCTATGGCCCAGACAACTTCACCGCGAGAGGCCGAATGGCTGAGTTCCCTTTTGGTTGTTATTGAAAGGGCCACATTCTTTTGAGAACCCAGAAGAGCAAATTGTTTGACTCATCTATTGTCGGCTCGAGTACGTGCCCCTGCACCTATCCGAATATATAGGCATTACATACAGTGCACAGGTCAGCTTTCAGTGCTTTACGCGGTGTTCCTTCGGGCCGGGACTTTGATTTACTTGTATTTTCTACTTTGCTTGTTTTAGACATCATCTTTTGCACCAATTCGAAGTGATGTTTTTCTTAGTCGGGGTGATGTTTGGTGAGCAACACAGTTCATGCTCGGGCGCATTCAGAAACCGTTTCGCAGGCCTTTGCCGCTATGCCTGCCAGCCAGGCCTGGCGCGGTTCTTCAGTTCGCCCGTCCAAGTGGTTGGCTTTTGGTTGTCCTTTCAAACCCGAAGCAGGCACCCTCGAGAAATGACACACCATTTGCAAAGAGGTCTTCAAGCTATGGCGTTTCTTCAACATGGACTCGCAGTGAGGGGTTGTCTGCAAACGGCGGCCTCGTGTTCCGGTGCGCCCGTCGAAAGACAGTGGGGCAGACAAGGAAACCAAGGCCACAATAGCCACTATGATCTAGTAGATGGCTCTGTTTTCTCACAAACATTCAAAAGACGGCGAGATGTGATTACAGAGAGCTTGATCTTCGAAGCCATTCTTTTTGAGCTTTCAGTTGGAGGCTAGGCAGCATCCCTTTTGAGGAGCATCGAGTGACCCACCAGTCTAGAACCTCCTTTTCGGGGTAACTGACAAGGATTAGCGTCGAAGAAGCCGCGTTTTTGTCTCGTACAGGTGGTGTTAAGGGGTCCCCGGTTTGCCCCCACACAAGTCAAACGGCAAGCCCATGTCAACAGGTATCGGTTGTTGCTCCTGAATATTTGAAGAAAATGCTGTTTCCCTTGGGCTTCAAAGTCCCTCGTCAAATGCAGAGTAAAACTGTTTCTGATGAGCTGGGTCAGGGATGCTTGATCAGTCCAGGTGTATCAAACGCGTTTGTTTGTTTGTTTGTTTGCTTGCTTGTTTGTTTGCTCGCTTGTTTGTTTGTTTGTTTTTCTTTGTTGTTGTTTTTTGTGTTTTTGTTGGGGGGAACGCGGCGCATAGTGGTACTAGATGCTGTGCGACCCATTGAATCTTCCTTCAAATCGGGGCGACGCATGGAAACAGTAAGTCGAGTGCTTCCACTTTGGTGTGCCATGGGCAGGTTTTGAAGCGAATGAATATATCTCGTCATTTCCCCGACTAACAACCAGAGAAATCCGTTGGAGGGACTGCCAATTCCATCCGCTGGTTTCTTTCGTAGGGAACAAGGGGCAGCACAAACGACAGTGAGAGGGTTTCACTTCCATCATTGGCTACTGTCCTTTTAACCGCGTGGTTTGGTCTGGGTTTGGCTTTTGGAAACGCTGGGACCCGCCAGGCTTCCTTGGAAAGGCTGAACCATTTTAACCTCACTGGTTAAAACACATCCAGTAGTCCCCGCAGCCCGAAGCAAGCCGAACGTGTCTCAACGGCGCCTCGGACATCGCCAAGTCAAGGCCATACTTGGAAGATGCAGAAGGCGGCTCCGGGATCCTCCAAATCCCCAAACCCTTTATTTGCGGTCAACAAAGGGGCCCTGTTTCTTCGGCGCCCACCCCTGTTTCTTGGGCCCATAGGAGGACCCCCCCCCTCCAATTTCTTGGGCCCATAAAAGGTAACATGGAGGTCCATCAAAGCGAGTGCTAGGCGAACCAGGACGGCAAGAGCGCCAGCATCACGGCGCCCAACGGCCCGTCCCAAGAGAAGTGCATCAAGGCGTGCTTCCGCGAGGCGCGCCCGGGCCAGCTTGTTTTTTTCAGCTGAGCGAGTGGGGCGTTTGCGCCGGTTATGGAACACAAGGAAGAGGATGGAGTAGAATTCTGGCTGGTTGAGAGTGGGACATCCCATTCTAGAGGGTGTCCCCCACTTGATTGATTGATCTGGGGCCACAGCACTGATCGCGCGTGTCTTTTTTCTCCAGCCCTACTTACAAGGTGTGACAGGATGGTTGACTGCAGGTTGATTGGGGGGTTACTAACCACCCGGCGACCTAATTAATCTAGGGCTTTTTTACGTTTCGCCCTGTGCTTGGCGCATAACCTTTCTGCCAAGTTGAATTGAGTTCCTTTTTGTGGTTAATTGAGTTCCGTTTTGTGGTTCTCGAAACAGTGCTTCCTGAAGAACGGCACTTTGCTTTTTCGTTCTGAACACCCTCCAAATGGTGTCAGCGATTTTGGACCCTCCACAGTGCCACATGTATCACATGTCGTGCTGGTGGTAACCTAGTGGCTGACATGAAGCAGATTCGCAAGAACACACCGATTTTCAACGTGTCCCAGCCACAACAATGCTAGGTACTAGGAAAATGCATGGAAACCAACATCTAAAGTTCAGCACATCCAACTGATCACCAGGAAAAGCCAAGTATGATGCGCCCCAAAAATATTCCTTTGTTCGCGAATTGCCAATGTTTGATCTCCACTTTATGTTGTTCGGGGAACAAGTCAATCACAATCAATGCCATGCAAGAGAAGGTTAGAAAGGGACAGTCTCGGCCATGAGTAGTTCAACGGCCGCCCTCGTGACATTTGCTACATTATTTTGGGAACGCCCATAGGGAATCCCATGAGCAAACAGCCAACTCAAGCACATCCGTCCGATTTTGGGTTGAGTGACTCAGGTGATGGAAGTTCTGTTAAACCGCGATCCCAGAGTTCCCATGGACCGATCTTGACAACAGATCCCGAACGACTTCCTAGAGAGCTCACCTGGGTTTAAGTTTAAACCAAGCTCCACTCGTGGAGGGGAAGAGTTGTTCATGAGCAGGCTTTGCTTTGGTACTGGCAGGACAGACAAACATGAGCACATTGCTGGGGTAGCGTTTGCTCGAGGGGCAATTAATGAGAGGTCCTCTTGGTGGCGAGAAGCAAGTTTTGAACACATCGCAGAACAGTTGGGAAGCATGGTGGTCGCTAAGTAAAACACTTTGATGGTGTAGTATGTTTTGTGTTTTCTTTATGCCCATGTTTGCACCCCACATGCGTGCAAGGCTAATGGAAACAGCACAGGAAATTGAACACGAAACGCAGAAATGTGGGTGCCGCCTCATTCGAAACAGCAATGTCCATGAAAGGGATTAAAATAGGGGACCCCAACAATGTGTGGCTTTTTGTTTGGTTTCCCTTCACACCAAGGCCAAACATGGTGCCCTCTAACAGACACAACATGACGGTTGCTAAGAGAAAACCGAACCTGGTTGCCCATCTGTGGAAGGCGCCCCATCTGTGGATCTTGGGCTTTCTTCCGGCAGGCGTATGCAATTGGGATACGTTTGACGAGCACAAATTGCATGGAAGCATGAGAAAGGGAAGCAGTTGGACAAGCTCATTGTGGGACAAAACGTGTGTCGGGGAACTCACTAAGTTAGATTCGCCTATGTCCACTTCTGGTAATCGTAAACTTGACCCTGTGTCCGAGACGATGTTGAAATGCTTTCCCTTGTTCTCACTATGGATTGGGGATCCTGACCCCGTTTTTTTCACCGACCCTCACTTGCCAGGCCAAATATTTGCCCTCGGAGGTGGATTGCCACCGCCTGAGTTACATGCGAACTGCATACATGTGAGCTGACAAAACCACTGCTAGCCTGTCGCTACTTTGGGGAGGACAAGACACCAATTTTCCTTGGTCCTTTGGGGGAAACAAGTTTTTGTTTGCCGCCTGCAGCTCTGCCATCTTTCTTGTTCCACCTGCTTCCGCCCCCGTGTCTTAAGTTGTAGACAGCTAGCCCACCACATACAGCGATGGATATCCAAGTAGATAACCAATTGGCACGAAGCCAACAACTTTGCCCATGATGACATCCAAGGAAAACAAAACAAAACATCATGGACATTGTTAGGTCAATACGGCGTAAACAACACTTCTGCTGTTCAATGTTGTCTTGCTATTCGTCATTTCTGGGATCCAACGCGTCTCCAGAATGGGAGTATAGCTTTGTGACTTTCTGCGTCAGCACCTTCTTTCTTTTTTGGTTTGCTGTTTCCGCCTGCCCTTCTATGGCAATCCACGGTATTTTGGCGTGTGATTGCCTTTGCGAACTCGATGGTTTGGAAACTCTGCCAAGTCGATGCCCGGGATGTATATATCTCATGCCAGTTCCAGCGCGCTTGTAAATTAGGTCTTCGAAGAAGAACGGTGCTTGACACATGTCAGTGTTTACCCGTGAATGATTTTGTTGGTTGGGGGTCACCTTTGGGCTGAGGGTTGAACGCAACATCAGAGGCCCGGGATGCAAGTTGCATGCGTGTGACGAGTTGATATCCGATAATTACGCTATACGCAAATGGATACATGCGGGGATATGGACCCCATCCCCATAGAGGTTGTCTTAGCACAGAAGTAAAACTACGGTGCGTTGGGTGACTCATGGAATCGAGGACCGTGAGTTACCTCTGATTTGCGTGTAAACGACGGAGTTGGCCGTGAACGACGGGTTACCGGCCCTCCTAGCTCCCTACTACTCGGCACGTTTGGCCTGCTTCGGCTGGCAACAGTACATACTGGGTTTGCCCAGCAGCCTGTTCATCACACGTATTGTGGCGAGGATGGTATGAAACTTCGGCAATCCGTAGCCCGCGAACAAGCCAAGAGGCAACGTGAAAGGGGAGTCCCTCATGTTACCCTTTAATTAGAGGTCGCCCCGCGAGTTCGGTTTGCGTTGGGAACATCGCTTGGCGAGAAACCGTTCATCCAGACTTTGCCTACCCTTTAAAAGTGTTGCTTTGTTCTCCAGCCCTAAGTTTTTACACGGAGTCTTTGCCTTGCCGGGTGGGGCAGTTCTGCCAAAAAATAGGGAAGGGGGCGTGACAAACTAATCATCACTGGGCACCACACCGCTGCTTGTAAAGTGCCCCAACTGCTTCCAACATGTGCAACCAGTCCCGACCCCAAAAGCGGATCTTGTACAAAGGCCCGGCACAAACCGCCTTTGCTTTCAAAAGGATCGAGGTACGGGGCAAATCCCCGTGCCACAAAGCCCCACGGGCATTCTCATGATTGCTCCGCGCGTCGTGTAGGCTTTGAGACGCACGGCACCGGCACGGCCCTGGGTGATCCCATCGAGGCCAATGCGTGCGGCGTCTCTTGGAGTTAAAGCTTGTTCGATGGGCGGTAAATATATATACATATATATATATAATATTCCAAACTCATCCGTCCCTTGTGGTTTCCTGGGAAAACCTGATTCTTTACTGAGCTAACGGTTGGAAAACTGTCCTTTTTCACAATCTGGGTTGCTCCGAGCCTCAAAGCACTGACAGGCACGCGCACGCGCGCAATCAAGCACGCGCACACCCGCACACGAACGCACACACACACACACTCTCACACACACACACACTCACACACCCTCGCACGCAGGCACACACAACCAACCAACCAACCAACCAACCAACCAACCAACCAACCAAACAAACAAACAAACAAACAAGCAAGCAAGCAAGCAAGCAAGCAAGCAAGCAAGCAAGCAAGCAAGCAAACAAACAAACAAACAAACAACCAACCAAAAATCAAAGAAACAAACACACAAACAAGCAAGCAAGCAAGCAAGCAAGCAAGCAAGCAAGCAAGCAAACAAACAAACAAACAAACAAACAAACAAACAAACAAACAAACAACACATCAAACAAGCAAGCAAACAAGCAAACAAACAAACAAAAAAACAAACAAACAAACAAACAACCAAACACACAAACAACACATCAAACAAGCAAGCAAACAAGCAAACAAACAAACAATGAAACAATCAAACAAACAAAGACGCACAAGCGCGTGCGCACGTCACCCACGCACGCACGGACACAACAAAAACACAAACACAAACAAACACACATTTACAAACACAAGCACACACACACAAGTAGAAACACACATGCAAACACAATCCCACGCGCACGCACGCACACATCGACACAAACACAAACAAACAAGCAAACAAAGAGACCAGCAAACAAACAATCAATCAGGCAAACAAGCAAGCAACCAAACAATCAAGCAAGCAAGCAAGCAGGCAAGCAAGCAAACAATCACACACGCACACAACAAAGACGCACAATCGCAAGCAAACACATATTCACAATCATAAGCACAAGCACAATTAGAAACATCAATGCGAACACACACACCCACACGCACACACACACACACACGCACACACACACACACACACACACACGCGCGCAGTCACGACAAAGCCACCCCTCAGTACCGTCTGCATTACACAATAGGGTCCCAAAACAGCACTTTTCGTCATGTTTAATTGGCAATTGACCTTCTATTACCTAGACCTTCCTCCGGCACATGTGTTTTTCCGGATCACGGAAACGAACGCTCATTTCGATTTGAATCGCTCACTTCAGGAAATGCCCAATGGAGAATTGCCGGTTTGGGTTTGACATTATTACGGGATAAAACTGGCCACAACAGCTCAAAACACTGTTCCCTCTCATCTACATTGTTTCTGCTCAAAATTCGAAACGAGCAGACCAAAATGCTTGGAGCCCACGCAAGTGACCAAATGGAACATCCCGGTATGGGTTTCTTGTTTGGTGGTGTGCTTTATAAGCAACCCATGAAAAACCTTCCACCCTCTAACACATCTTGGGAGTTTCCCACCAATTCCATATTTTGGGGGTTGATCAATATTCCTGGCACCGAAATGACCATGAGTACTGTTTCCCATTTAGTTGTGAATGTATTCATTCTTTTTTGGTGGTTTCCCTGATGGTCATCCCATGTATCACGGACTTTTTGGTCAACCCGCAAGCCTCTGTGGTACAAAACACATACCCTCCACGCAAAGAACCCGTGGGTGCTCGGCAGGTGGGCGCGTTTCGGCGTATCTACGTGCAGAGCCCACGGGTGCAGCCCTTGCTGGCGGGGATGCCGAGAGAGACATCGATGTTACACGCGACGTCTGAGAAAGCACCCCCCCAGTTCACGCCCTAGTTGGTCTTACTGTGGTAGTTGGTGAAACTTGGTTTTTGTTTGTGGTTTGAGAAGCCCCAAGACATGTATTGGGGCCGGTCTGATGTTTCTGTTTGTTTGTTTTTGTTCTCGGGCGGTTTGTGGGCTGCCTGACACCTGGAGGCTGTACTAGGCGGGGGCGCTCTAGTTGGCAAGCGGACTGCGAACTGGTTAGTGAAAACTGACTTGCCCACAGCCCACCGTTCAAAAGCTGTGATTCGTTGTTCTTGTTGGGGCTAAACCTAATATAACATCTTGTGTTCGAATCTGAAGAATTTGATCGGTGATTTATGGGGTTTTACATCCGTTGCATCCGCAGTGTGGCTGTTCAAGCGTGAAAATGTGCGAGCAGCGCACTTGGACGGTTTGTTGTTTCCTTTTGGGCCCCAAACCGGTAACCCTTGAATCTATAGGTTATCAGCCGTAAGCCCCTAGCTCTAACAATGGACGGTTCCCTTCCCTTGTGCCTGTTGATGGATCCAACATGCCTGTGGATGCTGTCGGAGCTAGCTCCGACAACGCCACCGGCGGCGGTGCGCGAATGTTCGCGCCAAGCGCCAATGCGCAGTATAACCGCACCCTAATGAATTCCCTTCAACTGTACAATACCGCAATCTTTGCTTTTGGGAATGATGCAGCCATTAGGTCTGAAGCCGAAGCCCTGCATCAAGCAGCTGTCACGCACTTGCAAGCGGAAAACCGTGAGGAGCTCCGTGTCGCACAGAATCAGCTGCATGCACACTACGCTGAATGTGTGCAAGCCCAGTCGCATAGGATTCGTGAATACGAACAGCGAGTGAGCGATGAGTTCATCCAAGAAGTGAACTTCGCTGAAGCTAGGATAAGCCAAGTGTGTGAGGAAAGCGCCCAAGCATCGCATGAAGTGGAAATGAGACACAAAACAACTGAATTTAGGCAAGCCATCGAATCCACCCTGGCGGAGGCCCAGCAGCTCCTTCATGAGCAAGCCGCCAAGCACGCCGATGACACAGCCCGTGTCGAAGCGAAAAACGCCAGGATGATCGACATGATGGCCTACCAAAACGGGCTTCTGCAGGACGAGCTCGATGAGCTGAAGAGGTATCAGAAGCAACACGACCTCCGCGAGGATGGATCGAAGCCTAAAGGGGTAGGTGATACCCGAGAGGATTCACCAGAGTTGATGACCGACGACATGAAATCAGCTCGGTCCCAAAGGTCAATGTTGGACCCGTTGTCCAATCCATTTCAATATGCAAAGGAAAAGTTGAGGTCGCTTGTTACCTATGACGGTTACGAGGTTGAATACACCCCCAGCGTAATTCCAGCTGCCGAAAGCGAAGCACTGCCTCCAGATGCTCGCGATCCGCAAGGACCAGCTGAAAAGCCATCAGGTAGCGGCCGATCCCCGGTGAAAACAAGTGCACCGGTCCCGCCCCTGCAATTCTCTCACAGGCCAATGCCAACTGACCGTAAGCAGGGTGGTAAGCCCCCTGGCGGTCCGCCGCGGTCCGCCACCTGATGATGATGGCGATGGCGAAGGTGATGAAGACGAAGGTGATGGCCTTGGGCCTAACCTCGGTCAAGAAGCCTTCGCCAAAATGTTGATGAAGTTAGTGAAAGGCCACACGAACGATGAAAAGCCAAGAACCCGCGAAAGCGAGACGTTGCGATTCAAGGAGATGCCAACTCCTGAAACGTACCGTGAATGGAAGACATCGGTTCGTGAGGATGTCCGCGCTGCATCTGACCGTCCAGACGAGGCTTGGCCTTGGATCATGGAAGTTTGGTCTGACCGCGAGGACAAGAATAAGCTGTTGGAGGAGCTCGGTGAACCGGGAAAATTCGTGACTCTAGACACGAAGATTCTCGCAGCGCTCACGCGTTCAGCGAAAGGCGATCTGGCTCAGCGAATCCTGACAGCAAAGGAAGAATGCGCCAAGGAGGGAAAGGCCATGAGAGGAAGGCAGGTCTTGTTTATGTTTGACCAATATTTCAAGACCAGTGAAGAAGCCGGAAACCTCTACTCCTTGGAGGACCTGTTGCGTGTCTCGCGACACGGCGAAAAAATCATTGATCTCAAGCGTTTCCTAAACGCTTGGGATTCTGTGATCGCCGGCATGAAAAGGCCGCCAGAAGAAAAGGGGTGTTGAAAGACATCCTGCTTCGCCAAGTTAGAAGCTGCCATCTGTTGCGGTACGACATCGACACATATGATCGTTGCCGTGATGATGATCCCAACAAGTCGTACGATTTCCTAATGCGTTGCATGAGGGATCTAATCGAGAGGGATAGGCTTCGCGAGAACCGAGAGCGCGTGTCCAAAGTCAATGCTAGTAAAGCCCCGACGCCCAAGGCCGGTGCCGCCGCCCCTGAAAAGAGGGACCCCAAGAAAAAGAGCGCGCCTAAGCCGAAGGACACCGAGGAAAAGTACTGCTTTGATTTCCAGAAGGGCTCGTGCACGAGGGGGGCAAACTGCCCTTACGCGCACCGCAAGGAGCCGCGAGGACGCTCTGCGACCCGTGGCAGGCCGAGTTCCCCCAAAGGCAATAAAGGAGAGAAAGCACCGTGCTCTTTCTTTGCCCAAGGGAAGTGCACTAGAGGTGACAAATGCAAGTTTAGCCATGCCTCCACGGGCGGCAAATCAGCCGCCGCGGCATCGAGCAACGAGGCCAATGCTAATCCTGCGGCTAAGAAGCGTGCAAATTCACCTAAGCCTAAGCCTAAGGCCAAAGCCGCTGCAGTCTGCACCAGGTACGCCATGTTCGCAAAGCCGATCAATCCGATCGGAGTGTCATTTGACACTAATGCTCATGTGCACGAGATCCCCGCCGAAGGCGATGGTTTCAAGCTTGAGTATGAGGAACGGCAGTACAACAGGATGTTTCCAAGTGCTAAGGACTGCCCCAGGCCGACCAAAGGGACGAACAAGGCAGCACGCAAGGCCGCGAACCAGTTGAATGCCGTAATCAAAGCCATTGAGAATGGTGCCCAGCCCGCTTGTGGTTTCATGTGTGATGTGGAATCCGATTCCATCTCAAGCCTATCGTGTGATGAGTGCCTGAGAATTGCCATGCCGCCTCACGATGTTCGCAAGGATGTCGAAGCGCCAAGGGCAGCCACCCCTGCACCAAAGGGAAAAGACGTGTGGCTCATTGATTCTGGTAGTGAGCAGGACCTCATCAGCAAAGCTGCACTGAGGAATGCGTCCAAGGCAATCCGAAAACAGGCTCCTCAGCCTATTCGCCTTGTGACTGCAAACGGAAACATCACTGCTTCCGAAATCGCCGACATCAATGTCGATGCATTGTGTGAGCCTGCTCAGCCTTACATCCTCGAGAGTTCTCCCGCAGTGCTGTCGCTGGGTGTGAAGTGCCTGGATCAAGGATATTCCTTCCATTGGGAATCCGGGAAGGCGCCAACCATGGTTCGCCCTGATGGTGCTCTGATCCAGCTCAAGGTTGACGGTCATGTGACATACATGGATTCTAGTTGTGAAGCTGAGCCATCGTTGAGTGCAGTAGCAGCATCCAAGCCAGCGCCTGCACCGGTTCATGACGAAGGCATCGACGAAGGTGATGACCCCGACGATGAAGTTGAGCGGTTTGTGAGATCCCGCAAAGAGCAAGATCTGGTTGCCGAAGCAAGTACCACAGAGCACCTGTTCGCACACTATCCGAAGAATCCCTTTTGCCGCACTTGCCAACGTGCCAAGATGCTTGCCCCATATGCAAGATCGAAAGGCGGGCAGGGAAGGCTCGAGACGAAAGCGTTTGGAGATCACATCATTGCTGATCATGTGATTCTCAAGGCCAACATCGAGCAAGGTATCAAAGGTGAATGGTGTGCTCTTGTGATCAAGGACGTGCATACGCAGTTCAGGTATGTTTATCCGTCGACCAGCAAAAGCACGGAGCAAATCCGTTGCAGGGATCCAGCATTTCATTTCCGGTAGGGATGAGGTTGAGGTTCTCTACACCGATAACTCCCGGGAATTGAAAGCCGCAATAGAGCAGTTGGGGTACCGTCATCAGACCTCCATTGAATATGTTGACTCTTCCAAATCCTTCGTGGAAAGGGAAATCAGACACCTGTTGGAGGAAGCACGTGCGAATCTTGTTCAGTCAGGGTTCCCACTGTCGATGTGGCCATTTGCAATCCAGCACAATGCAGTTGCAACCAACATCCTGCCGCAGTTGAACGGAAACGATTCGCCATGGTACCTCAGGTTTCACAAGACCTTTGATGAAGCTGAGATACCTTTCGGAGCAAAGGTACTGTTCTGGAACAACCCTGCACGAGCTGACAATCAGGCAGGCAAGACTTCGCCAACATCAAATGAAGGCGTGTTTCTCGGGTACCACATTCAGCCTGGGTTCGCATGGAAAGGCGAATTCCTTGTTGCAAAGCTGGAAGGGCTCGATTACCATATCGAACATGCGTCCCTCACGGTACAGCGAACAAAGCGCATTGAGCTTCCGACTGATGAGTTCATCTTTCCGATGAGGTTGTTGAAAGACCCTGCATCTCATCCACCTGTTGCTGATGCCAGAACAAGAAACGATCCTGTGCCGTTGGAGCGTGGGCAAGCCCACATCGAGGAACCTGCCGCATCGGAGAAATCCGAAGCGAAGATCAAGCCGGTCGTGCTGACAAAGGCGGTGCATTCGACCCAAGCAGAATGCCTGATGGGTCACCAGTACCCGATGGCTATGTGTGGGATGGGGTTCGGCTCGTCTAGGAAGGCCGGATCCAAAAGGCCTCCCGATATCCCGTCCGACATGTGGGTCATGCTCGGCAGCCAGGACCGAAAGGCCCAGTATGAAGATCCAGCTCCGTGCAGATGCCAAGAAGGCTGTGCTCGAGACAACAGTCTCATCGGAGGCCAGATCCGAGCACCCTGAAGCCGCATCGAGTGCAAAGCCAACCAG